GGCTCTGGAAAGAGGTTCTCTCACTCCCTGAAGTAAAAGGAAAGGCTGCAACTTCATACCCTGGCAATTGTGTGCAAATGGCCTGGCCTCTTGGCCACTTGAAGAAGCTCTTCCCTATGTCCAAGGCCACCCGGATTCTGAGCGTTGACTCCCTGGAGGGATTCCTATGGCAGGAAGGGTGGGAAGTATTCCTCTGACATGAGTAAACCCCGCCAGGCAGCCTTAGCCACGCAGCGGCCACTGGGTGTGGGGACGCTTGAGACAAATGCAGACAGACCTCTGGGTCCCCAGGGCAGGGCCCCCTACGCTCTGCGGCCACTTCCCCTCCCTGACACTGTCCCTCCCGCAGCAATTTCGGATGCTCATGGCCAGCACCTCGGCCTGCTATGTCTGAGGGACAGTGAACTGGCCCCCTGTTTAAAAAGTTTGAGGACCTCTGATATAGAGTGATGGGGCAAGGGTACTTTAGCGTTTGTGGTTTTGAGAAAGTAACTTGAAAACGAGGGCTTGATGATGAAAAAGAGGCAGCCATGGGGAGATCAGAGGGAGATAACATTCCAAATAGAAGGAACAGCAGGGGCAAAGCCTTGAGTGGTAACAAGCTTAGCAGGTAGCTGGAGCAAACAGAACAAGGAGGGAAAAGGGGACATGAGGAAGGAGAATCAGGCAGGAGCCAGGTCAGAGAGGAATTTGTTGTCTACCATAAGGGCCTTCTGTTATATTCTAAGGGTAAGAGAGGAATTTGTTGTCTACCATAAGGGCCTTCTGTTATATTCTAAGGGTAAGAGAGGAATTTGTTGTCTACCATAAGGGCCTTCTGTTATATTCTAAGGGTAATGGGGAGATTGAAGACCTCAAGGGGTCTGGAAATCAGGAAGGGCTTCCTGGAGGAGGTGTCACTTGACTAGATTAAAAATGAATTAAGTAGAAGTTAATGTAGCAAAGAGGCACAAAGCCTAGGGCAGATTTTGGAACCATGCCTGTGCCCTAGCCCCTCCAGCAGTCCAGGCAGGACCCCTGAGCACAGAAGCTGGGGCTGAAGGCTGGGCTCCAGGCCCTTTGCACAGGCTCTAGCTGCAGCGAATGCTCCCTTCTCTCCCCTTAGGCTCAAACACCACCCTGCCTGCGCCAGGTTCTCTCAGCCCTGCAGTCAG